TGACAAGGAAACAATCTTTTGGCGAATACTAAAAAAACTTCATAAATCTTATTTATATTCCAGCAATTTTTCTTTCATTATACATTCATAGTTAGCTTTTTCTTCTTCGTTTTTTATTTAATCATTATTTAATCAAGAATAAAAAGATATCCTTCAGTTAAATACACTACTTAATCAAGAATTAAAAGAAATCATTCAGATGAGAATAAATGGCTCAGTCTTATATCAGATACTTTTTCATCTAAGCCATATTAAAATATAAATATGTGTTTGTAAATATATTTTTTGTTGAAGTTTAAAATGATTTTTTTGTTATGACAGAGACATTGTTTATAAATGAGTGTATGATCATTTCTCAATTTGATTCATGATCACTAAGAATCTTTAAAAATATAAGTCAAATTTGATTTTGTTTTGAAAATCTCTACAGCTTATTTTTATTTTCAAAAGCTGGCGTATTTTAGCAAAATAGTATTCTGACGTGAATAAAGATTTTGGTTTAAAATGAATATTGCAGCTCCATAGTTTATTTTTCATCCTCAATGTTAGGATATTTAAACAAAAACTTATTCTAACTTTAATAGGCATTTTATTAGTTATACAGCTCAGATTTCGGATCACAGCGTCAAAGTTTGTTTTTCATTTTTAACGTTCGGATTGTTCAACTAATTTTATCGGAAATTTGATAATCGTATAGTGTTTTTGTGTTCAAATTCCAATTTATAGTTCTCTAGTTCGTCTGTTCATCTCGAAAATAAAGATTTGCAAGTGAAAAGCTGTGCTAAGATTACTAATAATCTATTTATAGTGCTCAAGACAGTATTTTGAAACAAATTTTACATCGAGTACAGAATTGTTTATTTTCTGTTATTGTAGATGAAACAACAGATACATCAACAGCTGAACAATTGAGTCTTTCATTACGATATTATGACCAAAAACTAAATGATATACGTGAAGATTTTTTAACATTTATAGAGACTGTTTCATGTACAGGTGAAACAACATTGAATATTATTCTTGATTATTTAACAACGCACAATTTACTATTTTATAATTGTGTTGGTCATGCATACGATGGTGGTTCAAATATGGCTGGTATTTATGAAGGTTGTCAGGTATTAATTAAAGAAAAATGTCCAAATGCAAAATATTATCATTGTTCTAACCATTGTCTTAATTTGGCATTGATTAAAAGTTGCAGTATCTTACAAATTCGTAACATGATGGAAGCAATTAAGCAAATCATTAACTTTTTTAAAGATTCTGCAAAATGAATGCATGCTCGTCGGTCCGAAATTATGGATTATCAAGGAGAATATGTATGTTTGACAAATAAAAAACGTTTAATTAGTTTCTGCGATACTCGATGGATCAACAGAAATACGTCGATTGAAACATTTTTAGAATTATATATTCCAATTGTTAATACATTAGATAAATTCAGATATGGAACATTAAAAGATTCATTAGCTGAACAATTGTATCATGTTATTACAAATTTTCAACATATAATTTCAACTTGCATTTCATGTTTTTTATTATCAGATATCGTTCCCGTTAGTCGTATGTTACAAACAGAAACATTGGATTTTTAGTCAGTTAATCGGCATGTTGATGATTTATTAGAAACTTTGGAATAACGAAAACATCAGGCTCAAGATTATTTTCATAATATTATTTACAGGCATGCTGATAAATTATGTAAAGAACTATTTGTTACACCATCTGTTCCTCGACATTCAATGTTAGCTTTGCGAAAGAAAAATATGCCAATTTGTGATCCAGAACAATTTTATTATTGAGCAAATTGCGACCAAAAGTAATTGTAAATGAAAAACCATTTGAGTTAACAAAACATTTATTGAAACAATTCGCTGATCGTACACCTTCACCATTACAATTAAATTCTGAATTAGGAAGATGGCAAGAAAATGTAATGATTTGCTTAAAATGAATGATAACTGGAAAAAAATGGTTAAATGAAATTATCAAAGAAGTAGACAATGTATTATATCCAAATATTCGTTATTTATTAATTTTTTTGGCAACATTGCCTATGTCAACAGCTTCAGTTGAAAGAAGTTTTAGTCAATTACAAAGAATTAAAGCTATTGTCGATCTACAATGAAACAAAATAGGCTAAACGGACTGGCTGCTGCATACATTCACAAAGATCTTGATTTAAACCAGATGAAATATTGAAATTATATACACAAATGTATAATCGTCGTCTTGATTTTGGTCTTTCAGTTTGATCAGTAAATGTTATAGACAGAGGTATACAAAATAAACTAAAAAACACTTAGCTCAGCATTGAAGTCTCAGTGTTAGATATATTTGATGGAAATAATCACATTTCATTTTTTTTGTATTAATAAAAGAACTTCATTTCCTTTTGTTGTGTTTTTTTTAATGTTATGAACCTTAGCCAAGCTAAAAAACTTTTGGCCTATCAATAAAAATCTTGTCCATTTTATCTAATGGTTTTTTTCGACACAAACGAAGTTTGCCCATTTGTCTAAAAATCCTGGCTACGCCACTGGTTGGTATGTAACTGGTCCAGTGTATTTATCTAGTTTTTTTTGCGAAGGAATAGAGGAATAGTTGAGCGTGTGTCTTTGTGTGTTTATTCTACAAGAAGGAATGAAACAGAAAAAAATGTAATGCGAGTTGTAATGGAGTGATGTAGCTGAATTGTAAAAATGTTGAGAAGTGAGAGGAAGTAGAAGAAATATTTCTTTTTTGGACGATGTATAATCACACTTTCTACGAGTGCAAATATGTCTGACTCCTAGTTTTATGTTTGACGATTTACAAGCAAAGAAAAAGAGAAAAGAGAAACAAATTAATTCGTAAGAGGCTGATGCAATGTTGTTGTAAAGAATGAAAAATCGACAAAAACAAGAATAACAAAATAATAACAGACATTGAGCAAATGCTGCCGAATAATGAACGGTAAAAACAATTTTTCTCATCATCTGTTAAAGAATCGAAGCTGTTACTGAGATGTGGAAAGAATTTTTCTTTGTCGATATACTATTGCGCTTATTAAGTTGAGTAAAGTAACGTGTTTTTGTCTTATATCATTGAGAAGATCAGGACACAAAATCCCGGCAGTGCATATCACTTAGTGAGGAGATTCGACTGTCTGGTTAAATTGGTGTGCTTTAACACTAGTGTTTTTTATTTAAAACAAAAAGTACATTTGGAAAGTATAATGGAACAAAAAGAAATCTTTTCGACTTTGTTAAAAACTGTGTCAAACACATTTGAACAAAAACAAATAGCTAAGATTGTGATTCTTCTGTCTTTTATTCCTTCCCTTACAAACGAATACCTAAATAGAAGAAGAAAGAGAATCATAATGCTTGTTTTAAAGGACTTGTTCCATACAAAGGGAGCCACTCATCCAAGTAAACACATAGGAACAATTACATTTCCTGTCAAGGCAAAAAAATAGCTTCAGTTTTGGTTCGAAGTGTTGCACGATAGATTGAATTTGACATGGTATGCATAGCCAGAAAACCTGCACCTTCAAGTACATCAGTTACAACAAAAAGGTTTGCGTATTCGTTTTCTTCAACTAATTTTGTAATCTTTGAACGTAGAACTGGTAGGATAACGGGAAAGAGACTAGCCATGTATGTAGCTACCCAGTCAAACGTGAAAGCTTAAAAAATACGGGTGTGGATGTGAGGATGGATTTGAACAAAAACTTCAAACACTCACAATCGCATTTCATCCATACCCAAACCAACACACCCCACACCCATGACCACTTGGTTTATTGACATTTGAATCTAAAGAAAAAAAAAAAACATCGTATAAAAAAACCAAATTTTTTTTTCTCACTGGTAAACGTTGATTGAACTGGATACGTACCAGCATCACCACTTGTTATATTGGGATTGATATCTAAAGAAAAAGAAAACATGATATACGAAAAACAACCAAATTTTTTCTCTTACGAGTAAATGTTGGATAAGCTGGATAAGTACCAGCATGACCACTTCGTTGATTGGCATTTGAATTTAAAGAGAAAAAACATCATATACAATCGAAAACTAAGTTTTTTACTGATTGGTATTTGTTTAAAAGCTTTTATTTTTCCATCATATTTTTCATATAATTCACGAATTTTTTCATTAATGCTAAAAACGGGAAAAATTCAATATAGAACAGAACGATCAGAATAAAAGTTACATAGTAGTTTTCGTTTTTGAGATCAACTTGTTCTAAGGCTGCTCTAGTTTGTTTAGGTCTGTTGGGTCCCTAGTAAAAAATTCTGATTGCAAAAGAAAATATACAATATTTTAAAGTTATCTCATGTTAACCCTTTCTTACTTTTGACTAAACCTGATGGTTTGAAAGGATAATTCGCTTAAGAACATCACTTTTACAGCCCCTAATATAATACAATGGATAGTTCTGACGATGGTCTACTCATCCTACAAAGGACAGTTTGTTGTGCTGCACTAAAGTGATTTCCCAGGGCTCTCGGTTTTGAGGTATAGAATGATGTGAATCTTCACTTCTGTAGTAGCTATAGTTTGGAGAATTTCAGCACAGACTAGACCATAGATAGGCAGTTTGTGGTACAATTTTCAAGTCAAACGACTGAGTCTAGTCCGAGAATCGAGGCAAAAACTGGTGAGATTGTGATATGTTAGCTCCATTGGTAGATAGAGATTAATTAATAACTTAACGAAGACATGTCTATTTATCATAAAAATTTTACTGTAGGGAAAAGAAGAGGCAGGCGTTCCAACAGTGGGTCGAACAACGTTATATCTTCCTTCTAATTGAAGGTAATACAACAGAAAAATATCATTGATGCTAGCCTCAGATTTCAGTCTGGGCAAAGGTTTAGAGTTCAAGCTTTCGGTTGTAATCAGGACTCATTAAATTCTTCTTATGACAGAAGTTTCAAGACAAACAACGCTTGTTTCAACGGTTTTTGCCTGATGACGGGACTTTTGTCCACGACTGTATTTTCCTTATGTTGTAAAGTTCTGACTCTTTTTAATTAGTTGAATAAATCAGATAAAACTTAAAATTAAATTATTTAAGCCTTATATAACCAATACAAATTTCAAAATATTGTTGAAGCTAAAGAAAAAAGTATTCGGTTCCATAAGCTAAAGAAACATGAGATGGACATTCGTTTCTATACTATTTTACAGCATAAAAATAAGTCATGACACAATCTTCACTTTTTAAAATTTACATTCATGCATTAAAATCAAATGTTTAGTCTTCTGATCAAGTTGAAATTCATGATTTAAATCAAAATGATTTGCTAATATATTTAAACTTAAATGTGCATGTTTTGTAATATACATACATCAATAAGATAACAAGGAACGCAATACAACACCAGATTTTTATTTAAAAAACAACTGTTTTTTTCATACAAAAAGTTAACTTTTTGTCTCTTCTTTATCATCGATAATATCATCAATAGTTTGTCCATCAGGCATCAGCAGATTTCCTGAACCAATTTTACCTTGTTGCAATGAACTGATGATATTGGTGTCAAAATCTAAAGAAAAAGAAAAGATGATATACAGGGTGTGGGTGTGGGTGTGTGTGAACAATAAACAACCACATCCACACCCCACAATGAATAATAAATTACCAATACGATAGAATATAATGTGAAGTATAAACGCAAAAGTGATAGTTCATAATGAAATTCAGGTGAGCAAAATGAAGATTAAGTATGAATAAATGATTATTATTTGCGGATATATTTGAAGGTAGACTGATTCTTTTGCTTTGTCATCAATTATCGAAAGATAATTAGAAGATGTATTTGAAATTTTGCGCTGATGGTGAGGAAATGAGAAGAACAAAAGAGTTAGCTGTCAACAAAATGCTTTTCGACAAAGTTGCTTCGATAAAAAGTCTGTCGGCGAAAATGTCATTCGACAAATAATATAGTATTCGTCGGATTGATATCTCGATCTTATGTCTTTAACGTTTCTTCAAGTATATATTAGAAAAATGTGATTTTTTTACCACTTATAGTATACATATAAAACTTATATTTAATTGAGCAATAAAATAATTTAAATAGGCAATAATGAAATTTAGCAATAATTATATGGAATGAGCAACCATTATATAAAATGAGCAATAATTATACTGAATGAACAATAATTTATTTAAATTAAAGGTAAATTTTATATAAAAAGAATGTCATAGTGTGACTTGTTTATATATCTTTTTTCCCTTTCTTTTCTTCTGCGATGTCGTGTAGATGACAAGTGCGACACATATATATTGCAGTTGACTTTAAAATGTTTCAAAATCAACTCATTGCCTTTTAAATTCAACTAGTTAAGTTTAGAATTTATTTTGAAGTCAACTAATTGATTATAAAATATTTTAAAGTCAACTAGTCGCCTTTAAAAGGGAACCGAATTTTAAAATCAACTCAGATATATACATACATCTTTTGTTTTCTTTCGCTCTTCTTTCCTTTCCCTCACTTAGATATTTCTCTTCTGTTGATGTTGTGCAGGTATATATCCTTCTTCGTCATGTTTTCTTTCTAGGGTATTTGGTTTTTTCCTAGCTCATTCATATATAT